AGAGAATACCAGCTTGAATAGTCGAGTCTGTGGAAGAGATGTTCATTCACTGTTTTGTTTTACTTTTCATTTTGTAGAAAGAAAAATGCCGGTGCATCATGTTCTTACCTGAAATGCACAATCCTCTGCACAGAATTTGAGCCTTGCCGCGCTACACACACATATCGCTCTATCATGGATCGATTAACATTGTGAAGAAGTAATGCGCCGCCGCCCAATATTGAACAGCTAAAAGCCCATAATTACAACAGCCAGTTATTCAAGAAAGGCGAAATAGAATACAGTATAATTCTAGAAATGTGAGAAACTTTATAACCCCTCAGATGAAAATTTGACGCTCACCAGTCATGAGTCGAGTTGATCTGATCAGCTGACCGAGGATCGAATATTCCCAAGAATGTTTTGGGACGATACAACCACCTGAAAGTTTGATACAAATCTCATCCCATGAAGAAAAGTGATATAAAAAAAACTCAAGACACACAAAACTTACCATTCAATACTGGGTTGTGGGGTACCGTAGGCAGTGCATGGGAGAAGTGCTGATTCTCCCATTACAGCTCTCACAATATCTGGATCGTGCTGTGAAATTCCCAAAGTACAATTGGTGAGAGGGGTTCTTAAACGATTTTTGAGACATGCTGAGACCACTGAGGTTGTGGAGATGATAAGAAATTCTTACGCTGGAGGACACTGCGTTTGATTCGTCATTAGGGAAGCAACTGGAAGCGACCACTGCATGACGCATGGGTCACAGTCGAAGTTGGAACCTTTCACGTCCAAAAATTGTAGAGAGGTTCTGAAAGATTAGCAGACGATAAGTGCAAAGCTTCAAAACGATAAAATGGACCAATATGAAGGAGAACGTGGACAACAATTGAGTGTTTAGACTAGAATAACATATTAAAGACAGTTCCTGCGATCAAAGGTCATGGATGGTTGCTGTTCAATTATGAAACAGTAGCTGATAAGTAATTCCCCAAAGAAGAAAAAAGCAAGAAGAGTCCTCAAGAACACCATAAACAAAATCGCTCCCTGACAGTCACACCTCCCTGCGGTCTCTGTGCAACCCCTGGCTCACAAATCGCTTTTTATCTCCCAGTGGTATCATCCAATGCAAAGAAAAGAATACGAAAAACAACAAAAACATCGACGGAAAACTCTTGACAAAAAGAAACTTTCAAAAACTCGGCGTACGAATTTAGGGTTACGGTAGCGTGCATCTTTAGTGCGTCGAGCTTTTGCACCAAGAAAATTGCATCACTCGTGATTTTTACGCGTTTTACCTTGCGAGAGTTGCAGTTGACTGTATGTGCTCCCAATGAATAAATGTGATGAAGGAGAGCAGAATTATTCATGGGCACGAGCGCGGTCAGCAAAAAGGACATGCAATTCCGATTAATGCCCGCCGCCCCAACAAAGAACAACTGAGCGGCCCTCCGTCAGAGGGCATCTAGCAAGTGAGCGGGCTGTTTTAAAGAACTAGAACTTTTCGCGCGGCTGTAGCACGCTCCTCGCTCGCTGTGGACTCGCGAGAGTGGGACAGTCTCTTAGCATGGAGGCTGGACTACCTGCACAAGGAAGGACGATGATGAATTACTCGAGCGCGAGAGCAATCTTTAATATGTGACAAACGAAGCATTCACAGAGAGGCTTTTCACACGGTTGGAAAAGAATTGTTGATACAGAACTAAAATACACGATTTAGGATAGCGGATGAGTGAAAGGGCCATCATGACAATGAAGAAGACGAAAAGTCGTTTCTAGTTCCGCCCACCCAGAATTTCTGAGCGTAAAATCGGTATACGCAAAATTGACAACAAAACAAAACTAACCCGGTGAAAAAAGACTGAGGAAATGCTACAATTTGAGAGTTGGTCAATGAGAACTCTTCTGTCGTCTCCGGAAGCTGACCACTCACAAACTTCAACTTGTATGAACCGATCATCGATAACCTAAAATGGAATGCTATGGGATGGACAGAACAACCAGGTGCAAGCAAGGCTTGGAAGAGTAAGACATAAGACAACAGGAAGCAGCACTTTATGATGAACGTGATAAAAATTGATGAACGTGATAAAAATTGAAACTGGGAGTGAAGTGCTTGCATCAGAGCATGTATGAGTTATTTTGTTTATAGTATTTACAAGCTATAGCCGCACTGTAAAGCCTAAAAAATTAGCAGAAAATATACAGGAAAAAACAAACTTGGAACAAACCTTAAAAGGGCATTTTCATTCGTTTTTCTTTCTTTATTCTCTCCTTGAACATAAATAGTAGGGACAACAGCTAAGAATATGATGTAATAACATAACAATATTGATATTTTGGCGAATCGCAGGTGGCAAGAGGTGCCATTTACCAGGTGAGCAGTGTGGGGATTAGATCCCGGATCGGTCCCCCCCCCGAGCCGAACTTCCCGTGCTACCGGAGAAAGCCAACTGGTACTAGACCCGCCTGAGAGGATGAAACATGTCTTCTACATCGGCTGCCCCCCCCCCCCCCCCCGGAACTCATTGCTCGGCCATTCACATTCAAAGCCCACTATGGCTTAAATGGAAGTGAATTGAGCGCAGCATTCTGAAAAGTGATAAAAGCTAGACAGTGAAAACTTGATTGTCGCACCGCTCGGCCAACCCTTACAAATCGAAATGTTCTTCGGCGTACGCGACATGGTTATTCATGTTTTTGTCCCGTTTAATTCATCGAAAGGAGGATTAAACCTGTCTGAATATTCACTTCCTCCTTCTCCCACACTTTTTACCACTCTCCAGAGCTCAATATTCTTTTCAGAACTTTAGAAACCTCAAAAATAGATATAATATCAAAGTGGTATTGGCGTGGCTCATTTCAGTATTCTTCGAATTCCTGTTTCGACAACGACTTTAACCAACAAACTTTTGCTTATTGGAAAAGCATTTTTTGGCGTACTTAATTCAAGCAAACAAATTTTTCATGTGCAATTTGAAAGTCGCATAAAAAACGCTAAAAGCTTGACTTGGGCTTGCTCCTAGTTTTTTGTTCCGTTACTGTGGATTAAAGTGGGGGAAAAAACAAAAAACCGAGGATGGACGGGACATTTAAGACGATCTTAATGTGGCACAGAATGGCGGAACCCACCTGACGAGGTTTGGAAGGATCCATGTTTTGAAATTTATCATTTCCACAATCGATGAGTCCATTGTGAGTTCGGTTAGTACAGGAGCACTCAGTTGAGGAGCGATGGTAAACTTCGTTTCACTCAAATCGAGACGCTTCAGAGAAGCAAACACAGGAAACTCTGCTTCCGCCAAAGGGTTGTGAGATAGATCTGAACATGGAAATATAAACGAGAAATTTTGAGTAAGAAAATCAGTTCGAAACAAGGAAAGAGATGCTGTTTGACAGCCATGATAGACGTGATTTACTCCTAACAGCATAATACTCGAACGCACCCTAAAATAATTGTCAAACCTGGTAATCACACAGTAAGGAACATAATAAATATTTTGTATAACAAGCTCTAAAATGGTGGCTAACAAATCCACAAAAGAACACAATAAAAGAACACTAACAACCAAAAGGAACAAATCTCTGGGTAATGGATTATTTGCAAACCTTTCTTCCCCAACTCACTCTGGAGAGAAAGCCAATCCTTTGCCTTAGTTTAACCTTTTACGCGAGTTAAAAAAAAAAAAACACACATATAAATTCGTACCACCTTAGGTTCGCTGCCAATGAAACGGCGTGTCAGGCGTATGAGTGTGGCGCCAAACCCGTTCTCTGACAGTTGCGACAATAATTGGTAGAAAACGAGTGAAACGAACGATATGGTACAGTCCTGCCACTTGCTCGCTTCAACAGCTGGTGGAGAACGGTGGAACTCATCCTATCTAACATCCCCTCTCCTCTGCATCCCCGCTCCTCTCGACTCTACGTTGCTGCAGAAGCAAAAACAAGGGCGCAAGTATTTCGAGGCATAGTAGCAGATCATGATCAGGCTAAAGATGTTTTAGGAGCCTGAGAGACGATTAGCGGTGAAATAGCTCAGTTGGAAAGTAGGTGTGCGGCTAGATTTTCAGCCAATTCCTGATAAAAGGGTCGAGAACAATTCTTAAAAGAGTAAGCTTATTCAAGTATGAGGATAAATACTCACTTAAACTTATCATTTGATCGTGAATTTCAGTGACTGTGTGAAGCGAATTCCACGAAAGATCCAAATCGCGAATACCTTCATTCAAAGTGGAGTTAATGGAAGCTATCTGAAAGTTAAATATTGCCGTTATTGCCACTATGTACAACTAAGAATACTGTAACCGTAGCACTTTACCTTATTCCCGCGTAAACTCAACGTATTCACAGACAAATCGCTAATGCATTGTGTAAGATGTGTAAGTTTATTGTTATTTAGTGAGAGCTCTTTAAGTGAAGGCATATTGCGAGTAATATTACAAAACTGAAAATAAACATGGTAAATAACATATAACATAAAAGAAAAAATCTAATCACAAAAGAGCATTGTCCTACCTGATCCCACTCTGCAAACTCATTATTATCAAGATTCAGATGAGATATCGATTCAAGAATCAAAGAGAGCGAAACGGAGCTTATTCCACTTTCTGTAAAAATAACAATACAAATTAAACTGCTGTTATTCAAAAAAAGGCAGCCAAAAAATACACAAACGTACAAAAATATACAAATAACATCGGAAAAAAGTAGATTAGGATAGATAAAACTGCGGAAATCAATTTCCAAAATGATGCAAAATACAGAGGAAGATCCTCGGATAAAGACGAACAAAAGGTCAAAATGAGCCTCGATTTCATCAAGACAAGGACTGGGAGCAGAAAGAAGGCAATACAACAATATGAGCCCTCAACCATGCAGTAGTCATCCACTCGCCGTCGCCGACATCACATAGTGGCGACCGAAGTCTACCGTTAACAGCACGTATAGGTTCTACTACCACTACTCCACCCATCCACCAAACATTATAGAATCCTCAGCAGGGGGAGAGAGAGGGCATTGAAGTAGTTCGCTGGGGATGGGTTTTATATTTTGTGAGAAAAATGCAGAAGAGGGATCTGGAACTCCCAGGCACCGGTCGACGACCCATTTTTTTGTTGAATTCTGGGAAGGCATATAGAGGTAAGATGACTTAGTTTAAGGGTTTAAATTTAAGGTGCTGTACTAGGGCAGCGGTAAGGAGTGAGGTCGCATTGAACTGCTGAAATACCAATTTTCACCAAGCAACGCATGACCGTTATCGGTGGACAATTGACTGTTTTGAAAGAGAAGAAGAAAATCAATTCCTTCGAGTGAAGCGAGGAAAAGGATGACCGTAAGCAAAACGAGGAGTAGCAAAACGGCATAGGGCACCTGTGTAGAGCATCTATGACCATTTCCCAGTGATACCAAGGGGGTGGGAGTGATATGTAAAAGAGGAATGAGAATGGATTCGTGCACCTCAAAAGGTAAAAGGAGGCGCAGAATAGAGGAACAGACTCCGACAAATGTGTTTTTCTTGAAATTTTTCAGTACAGTCTGTTTGGAAGGCCACTAGAAACGAGACAAACTCTGAAATCATACAAAATTGCAGACTCACCCTTAACCGATAACTTTTCAAGAGCAGCCAACCGAGAAAAAACATCAAGTTTGAGATGGTCTTCCTCCCAGTTTGTTATATACAGTGAATGCAAAGATGAATAATGCTTCTCAAGGAGAGGTATTGAATCAGCTCCTATAAACAACTGGGCTTTGTCTAGCATTGAGAAAGCATGATAGAGCCAAGAACTGATTAATTTTTTATCAGCGAATAAAATGATAGTATGGGAAGAAGGGCCTTCAGATATCCCACGAAAATCCCGCAATCTTGTTTATACGCAACTACCCGAAGAAATGACAAAATTCCGGACAGAAGAAAGTACATGTATCGATTAGAATGACGACTTGCTAGAAATTCAGAATCAGGACAAAAACAAGCCATACGTACCGCTTTGAAGAAACTACGAACCAGCGGAATCGGAAGAAATGCAGAATTAGCTGAACTACCGAAATTCTGCGCTCGTCATTTCTCACAAAACACCACAGAGAATGCGGCTGAATATCCAGTCCCTTTCACACCTTTTTTCTTCACTTCGGCATTTCTGCACTTCTCCCAGTTTCGCAAATTGGTCTCTAATCCTCTGCAGATTCGGTATTTCTTCAAAATCGTCATACACTAAAGCTAGACCGCGTTCGTACTTTGCGAAGGACATTACTGAAGAAGCTCAGTCACTGGTGTAAACAGTATGAGAAATTCAGGCTTTCTATGCATTCGTGAACTAGACTATCCGCTAGACTAAGGAAAAGCTTTCTTTACGAATGTACCACGTTTCAAAAGGAATGTTTGAAGTTCAAATTGAGTTTATGTTATCTTATTACTACAACTATTACCTCCGCCTACTCGCCTACTTATATAAGTAGGCGGAGGTAGTGTAGTGACAAGTGGCGCGCTTACCACTCGCGCTGTCCTGGGTTCAAATCCCGGGTCGACTCCTGCCCAGTTCAACCAAGTCGTTTACCCTCTGGGGCGGTAAGTTAGTAGCAGATTTGTCTGGGAAGATAAGTGTACATGGGCTGGTTCCCGCAAGTCACTGTATAGGCCACATCGCATTCAATCAGCCATTGCGATTCTGAATGGAAGTAGAATGTGTGCCGCATCCCACAAAGGGATTGATCAACGTCGAGATTTTATCCTTTCCAACATAGGAGTCCTCCTGGCTCCTTAAATCCTGCATCGACTATCATTGAGTGTTCAACCACAGTCTTCTCAACACATGGGAGAAGATATTTTCTCAAATGGTTCATAACAGCTCCACGGGAAGAAGCCACCCCCCCCCAAAAAAAAAAGCCATTCTGATTATTTTCATTCCAAAATCCCCAGAGCAGAAATGAGGAACAAAGCATCCCATCATTCTAATTGTGGCCCAGGTGGAAACTTTCTCTACTGTTCCCCATCTTATCACACAAAATCCCCAGAGCAGAAATGAGGAACAAAGCATCCCATCATTCTAATTGTGGCCCAGGTGGAAACTTTCTCTACTGTTCCCCATCTTATCACACAAAAGACAGCTGTCAACTGTTTTGAATTCACTACAAACAACGGGCGAGGCAAAACAATCAGTCAAGCGTCTTTATATCCATATTCAAAAAGGGAGGATAGCTGAAAGCTCCCTAAGCCAACCGTTATGCAACCAAATCACCGCGCGTCTGAACTATTTGAACTCCTGAGACGATACCTTGTCAAACCTACCGATTCCTGCGCACTCGACTTTGGAGGCATCATGTTCAATGCAACTGCAACCGGGAACTACAGGACATGGATATGACGTCAACTCGATAACTGTCGTAGGTGAAACTGATCTAGAAACAAACACATAGTGAAGAAACGAATCCATTTAGAATTCACTCTAAAACTCACTTAATATCTATAGACGAATTAACACTACCGAAAATAAATACTACAAAGATTAATATCCGATATGAAGGGAGAAGCTTTAAAACAATTTCTTCCACGCATGGAGGAAGAACACGACGCATTCCAGATTACTTTTGAAAACTTTGCGAGGTTCACATCACATAGGAACCTAAGAAGTTCATGAGGTCCTGATTGAACATATAATTAAAAATAGGAACAAAAGAATAAGACAAAAACAGGTACACTGGACGTGCTGCTGACAACAGTTCTCGACTAAAAATGAACACGGGGCAAAACTTAAAATCTTTACTTCTCCAACAACGCATACAATAACAAAACAAACTCTATTACAAATCTACATTTAGTGTCGCTTAGGTTTCCTATGAGGTACTGGTTGATTTCCTGTCGGATACCGTTTGATGTAGTACCATGTACCCGGTTCCTGCTTTTCTTTTAATCGATACATATCCATATCATCATTCCAGTATCTGAAACTCCATTAGTGAACTAACGCAAGATAGAAAGAACATCTCAAGCAATAATTGTGTCAAAGCAATAGGCAGCTTTTTGATCTACTACATTAACATAAACAGCTAATCGCGCAAAGACTGCGAGGTAATGTCTGACAAACAGTGCGTTATAACTTGATGTCAAAGTCAGGAGGTAGTTAGAGACCTTACCCCACCAGTACCTGTTATAGGACTAGGTCCTTTTGCTAAAGGCATAAGTCACGATAATTTGGTACTCGGTCTAAAATGGTAGCAGGGTGCTACATAGTAGAAAAGGCGAGAAAGCGAAGCGAAACGGTCGAAAAGCTGCAAAAAAGATTTGTTTCACACTCAGGAAGCAATTTTGGACAGTTTCCCGCTGGTATTATCGTGCCGGTCATCGACACGGTAGATGCGGCTGCATGCATGTACTCATAAATACTTATCCCTGAGACGGAGTAGGCGTGGCTTTTGAGCATGGCACAGGACGGGTTTCTCGTGGGATACTTCAATTTGAAACAACTGCTATCTTGTTCTGTGTTAGATGTAGACATGATTACGACTGCTCCAAAATGACAATATCTCACGAAAACCTGGGCCGCCGCCATTTTAAAATCAAGTACGCAGCCACGCCTACCCGATCTCAGGGATTTTGAGTATATCTATGCAGCACCGCAGCCGCTTCATATCAGTCCCTTGGCTTCATGCTGTACTTCGCAACACCAGCATCCGTCCGACATTTGTGTGCGGGCGAGGTGGGCTCGGTATGTTAAGACGCGTCCTGAGTTATGTCCCGCTAGGGGCATTGATTCTACACAACTACACACAACTTGGGAATTTCGCGTGCCACTTACTTTTGACTAAATGCTTTAGTAACTTTAAAAAAATGAAATGATTCCATGTAACCGCACGTCAGTCTTACCTGTTGAATCGTTTATATCCTGCCCTATCGAAATCGGGTACGGTTTTGTCTGGGAATAATCCGGCCCAATGTGCTTGCATTACACATCTAAACGAACACAACAAGATTAAAGGGAAAAGTATAGCCTGAGCGACTGAATAGCTTTATCTTTGCCAGAAGGCTATAGCGTGAGGAAATCACGGCGCATCATCACTTTGAGAAAAATTAGCAAAACATGACTCCCCAAAACTTCTCTTTCAAATAAAATATTGTAGTCGACAGGGCTGAGGACGAGAGGGGGTATAGCACTTGTAACGGAAAAAATCAAGCGGAAGAGAGTTGCACTGGAGGAAGTTGTCTCAAAAAGCCGTTTTCGCTAAAGATTACTAAATTCACGCAATAAAAGCCGGTACTGATACGGTGACATCAAGTCCTCGAAATCAGTGATAATGGGCCGGTACAGTACAGCCACATGAAAGCGACCACATCAAATTGTTCTGAGGTGATGTTTGATTCACAGTTACCGTTATCGCAAGAGTCCCCAGTTATGAGTGATTCGAAGCGAAATTCGTGATTTCTGGGCGGTGTATTGATTACGGTCAATGCAAACGAAAATGATACAAAACAATGCGTCGCACCTCTCAAGTCGCAGTTGCTGCTTCTTACATAGTCCTGTGAGTTCGCGCGGAAGAACAGTACCATCTTCCCGCATAAACTGCTCGAGGATTAGAACGTCACTGAAACATGAACGTTACGTCGTTACGTACAATTTTTCAGACAATAGGAACAGGAACACAGTGAAGTATAAAAGTAGGAACAAAAAAGCCGCCAGCATTCATCGATCTTTGTTGGGATATCTCTTCCGTTTGAAACCGCGGTGATGTTTTAAAATACAATTCAGCCCATACATTTACAAAGGGAGCTGTCGATAAAAAAACTTACTGTTTCTACCCTCCCGGACAACCTTTGCTAAACACTGACCGGCCCCGGTGCTCGGGGTAGAGGCTTGGATAGCCCGGGTCGGAGCAGGCCCAGGAAGTGATCTAACAATGATCGCACGCGGCAAGCGACGCCACTTTCCGCTCTACTACCCTTCCTCCCAGACATAGCACATAAAGGATCGCTTCGCTGTTGATCAACCCTTTTGTGGGTTGCGGCACGCATTCTACTTCCATTCAGAATCGTACCTTCTTGTTATGCGATGTGCCTTATATTATACAATGACTTCCGGCGGGCCTAATGTAGTGATGAAGAAGTTACTGTTCTTATCCTCCCAAATGGATCTGGTATCAAGCTAGAGGGTAGAAGGCTTCGTTGGCTCGGGCGGAGACTGATCCAGGTTCGATCCTCGGAAAAAGCGCGTGGTAAGCGTGCCACTTGCAACTGCCACACCACCTCCGCCTCACACAGCAAAACAATTACTTTCAGAAGCTTAGAAGTAAAAAAACACTCTAGCTAAATGGAACGGAATATGAAACACGGAATCGAGGAAGGGGGAAGGTGAACAGAGGGAAACCCGCACTCCGAACTTGGATATAGAGTGCTTCACGGCAAATTACCTTAACCCCTCAGTACATAAAAGGTGGGCAAAGTAAAAACCCAGTGATGTGATCAGTAGATAATTAAGAAGAATGTAGTAGTACCTGTATGACAATTTAACAGGAATGGTGCATGTACAAAGGGCGCAATGAGAACTGGATGGCGGCTGTGGTTCCGGGACTTCTTCCATTGCCACAACAGTCACGTCATTTTCCACTTTTTCGGTGACTGAAACGCAATTATTACCATATGGTGATTGTAGTCAGTAGGACCATGAACTCTACCTCGGCCAACCTAAAAACCTAGAAATGACCAGGGAAGGAGGGTCGGCTGAGGTGAGAATCGTTTGAAACCTAATGTACACCCACTGATGTGCCTTTTGATGATGATATGAAGTAGTTGTCCATATTCGCAACTTTTCCGAATTAAGGTTTTGTGACTGCGGCATATTCACAAGCAATACGAATCGCGGGCGTAAGGCTGTTCGGATGAGGCACCGAAGGTCAGCAGTTGTGTGGATGGCTTCCAGCTTGCAATTCAATTGCAATGTGATGCAATTTGTCTCTCATTTGAAGCAGCGTCATCCCGAAATTCGTTTTGAAGGTGCGTAAGCCAAGAAAAGCCTTTCATAATTCTGTACATAGAGGTCTGTGTCAGATGTGGAAAATGAATCGTAGTCAGTGCCCAAAGACACACCATACGGTATATATACAATTTCAGAAGGACACTCCGACGTGCCATCCCTCCCTTGCGGAAAGAAATGCAATTATTCACTTATGCATGGAGCTGACTGATACTCACAAGGGAAGGATACCAACTCGTCCTGGCCATTCAGAATGAGATGTATACTCCTAGGAGCGTCTCCGGATGCTGATATCAGATCTGACTTCCAAATCTGCTAAACGATTCTGGGTGGAGAGTTACGGACCTTTTTTGCTACCGTGCTTAACCATTGCGGTGCGACCCCCTGCCCATGCTTTGCGCTCGTAAACCCCTCGTGACCCAGCTGCCGCCGTGGCTCGATGGCGCAGCAGGTAAGTGGATGGCTTCATAGTAGTGAGACGGAGGTTCAAATCCTTGATGCATTTCGTAGTTTTGCTTTTTCTTGAAACGCATGCTAAACACTTGGGAAGTAGTTTTGCGTACCTGTCCGACCACCAAGACCCCTCCCTGCTTCTTAGGGCCTATGTGCGACTTTTCAGGGGTTTTATTTTAACTTCAGTGAAAGCATTCATTTTGATGGTGTTGGCGTGACAGCTTCAGGCATATATTTTCGTATTTAATGGGAAACATCAAAGGCTTGGTCCACGATCAGGAATAAAGTTGGAAATATGGTGTCGCGAGGGTAGTGGTCCGCAAGGAACAACCTTGTACTGGTTTACGGCGAAAAAATTGTTAGGGAGGGGTGCTATAACGCAATATAGCTCCAAAGAGGACACTCCTTTACCAGTGGCTCGGTCTCCAGACTCCGCCTTCAAAGCCCATCATCCAATGAAAACGAAGCTGCAGGACGAAAAAGCATGAAAATCGTAAGCTCACTTGTAAGGTCGTAGAGTTCTTATAGTGAATAAGCTGTGTGATGAGGGCGTAGTGTAGGAGATGGAGCTCACTGGGCACGTACAAAGTGGCTTGAAATGGGGTTCTATCTAATTGTAAGGCGGGTGACGAGTTTTTTCTGCCTTTTTTTCATTACCGAGTTACACAGCACATTGTCGTCTAGTCTATGCGAACCCCTAATGCACTATCTGTGATTGCGATTTATCGCAGGTTGTGCCTTTAAGCGAGCACAGTGTGATATCCCAATACAAAATGGTTAGAGCAAAAAAGTTCTTCACAGTGTGAGCTGCGAATAAAAAGAATTTCGCTGCAACCATTATTCTCACAGATTCCCTCCAGATGATATGTAATGCAATATTGGAGAGAACTCTCGAACTCGTCTGGATGAGTGTCAAGGTAACCTGCTGAATACCAGGATTAAGAAAGAAATTGTTCAAATCTAGATGCTCTGAAGGGATTCATCGTTATCTTCAGATGCCCAGAAAGGATCCGTATGTTCGTCCTTCACGAAGCTATCTCCTCGCAGTCGATTATACGGTTGTAGTACAGTGCGTCGCGCACAATAGGATAGAAACTCTCTGCAATCTTCTTTTCTTTGCGGGATAGTGATCAAACAATATCGCAAGACCCGAATTCTTTCACTAGGTGTGATAGCACCAGAGTCCGGCAGAACATTTCCAACTATGGTGGACAGGTCGCAAAGATGTTGGCTGATATTGTGGGCGTGAGTGAAGAGAGCTACCAGAGATGACGAATTCTTTCGTTGGCCACACACGTTGTCATCCTATAGGATGATGAAATCTCGCAGTTCACGAGCTCCAAGCAGATATGCATGTGTATTTGGTCCCTTGCTTGAGCTAGTTAGGCAAAAGTGTAAGTTTCCACGAAAATCGTTCGCGGGGCTCAATAAGTAGCAGGGAGGGGGTCTTGGTGGTCGGACAGGTACGCAAAACTACTTCCCAAGTGTTTAGCATGCGTTTCAAGAAAAAGCAAAACTACGAAATGCATCAAGGATTTGAACCTCCGTCTCACTACTATGAAGCCATCCACTTACCTGCTGCGCCATCGAGCCACGGCGGCAGCTGGGTCACGAGGGGTTTACGAGCGCAAAGCATGGGCAGGGGGTCGCACCGCAATGGTTAAGCACGGTAGCAAAAAAGGTCCGTAACTCTCCACCCAGAATCGTTTAGCAGATTTGGAAGTCAGATCTGATATCAGCATCCGGAGACGCTCCTAGGAGTATACATCTCATTCTGAATGGCCAGGACGAGTTGGTATCCTTCCCTTGTCAGTTGAACCCAGTTCCTGCAGAGGAGGGTGCGTGTCAGGCTGGCAGAGTTTCGCGCGATGCTGGTCCCGTTCTCCACCAGTTGTTGCAGCCAGCAAGTAACAAGACTGTCTCATAACGTTCGTGTCACTCGCGTTCTACCAATTGTTGTCGCATACCCGCTTCAAGAGCTGGGAGAAGGAGTATTGATTCCGTAGCGCTACTCATAACTGACTAAGCCTATTCATCCGCAGGAACTAACTCGTATCAAGAGAAATTATCTTGAATCTGACCCGTAAAAGATTGACTAATGAATGAATTTCTTAAGCTGCTTGAAAAGGCTGCAAAATGAGAGGCACTCGAAACAGTTTACGTTCGTGCGTCACTGGTAAAATGGAAAAATCGCAAAATGACAGTATTTGCAATAGTCTGAGAAATTGGAGAATCGGAGATCAATTAACATATATAGAATTTCGCATCATTCGATCCTTCTAATTATTCGACTCGTTACAAAGTAATAACTCGTCTCAATCGACGGTGCAAGCGCAAGATTCTCCAGCAGCACTTCCTTCCAACTCATGAAGCTCCATGTCGGGACGCTGTGATTTTCAGCCACCTTTTCAGAGATGGAAATGAAGTGGCGAAAAGCAATAAACACATATCGATTTATATCCACAATTTTGCAAGTTTCCGCCTTTTCTGTAGATTCACGTCACTTTCCTTGCAGATATCGGCATTTCTGCTTTTCTTCAGTCGATTTGCGTACGTAATTGCTTTTTCGTCATTTCCGCAATGATTCTGTATTTCTTCCGTAGTTTGCCAAGGTTAATTGAACGCGGCCTTAGTGCAGAGCACCATATCCCGCAATGGAGAGATTAGCATACCATCCAGGACTGAGTCACTTGCTATTGTTTTAAAAAGAAAACATTGCTAGTAAAGGACTCACATTTCCACTTCTGCGCACTACAAGACGCAGAGATACCTCGTACAGCGCTGAACAACTGATCTTTTCCCAACCGCAACCGTAACAGGCTTGGAGCTAGAACGGACATATCTGCAACTTCTCAGAATAGACTGTGACGTCAGAACTGCTCACGAAAGAAGTCACAGCTACGAACAGGAAGATGAACAGCACGAGTATTTACCACAGCACACTCGCAGAGACGATCGAGTAAACCTCGTCGACGGAGGGCCGCGTCGACTTTTATCAGAGTTTTATCTCGGAAGCCATTACCAGCTTGGCTGGTGCTAGTTGGATTTGCCCCGTTCCAGACCATTGCCATTTTAGAGGTTCTCTTCGTATTCGCAGACGATTTCCGGCAGAAATACTTCACAAAACTGGTGAGAGTATAGAGATAAACACAGAGAAAAGAAATCCCTTCTAAGTTTTGAAGTGTGGAGGAAATTTGATTTCGCACAGGTACAAGGTAACGAGAAGTGTAAGAATCTCCAAAATGCCGCAATCCGTGCATTAAGCCGGAGTTCGGAGAGTTTCTGAGATGTCATTTTCCCGTGACATTGTGATGCAAAGTGATTTCTGGAGTAATTCGGAACTGGACACCATTGATACCGCATTGAAACGGTGGTTTGGTGGCAATATTCGAGGGGAGGCGTGCGTCGGTATGACTTGTTCCTACGTCGCAAAAAAGCCACAGACTGTATCCCACAAATGCTACTCCCCTCCTGCCTTGTCTCGAATCAATAATCGATTCATTGACGCCTCCCCCGCGCTTGTCCTGTCGGTCTGCAAAATGCCCCGTAAGATTAAGGAGGGGCCAGGAATCCAAAAGTGTCGGAATTGGAAGTATATCAATTCGATGACATCAGCAAACTTAAATGCCATTAATAGTAGCCTCCTAGACAGTAGAAGACGCCTGCTTCATGGGTACCTTCTGAACAACCGGAAGAGCTGGTGTCACATCATGGCAGCCAACCTGAGGTTTGTTGAGGAAAAACCCTAGTGGTGAGAAGCGGAAGAGTGTCGAATTGCAGGTACGACCATTTTTTAGGAGACGGGAGCAGTTTACTTGAATTGACCAGCTACAACCCTTCGACACTCCAGGAGAGGTCGAAGTACACACAGTGTGGCCAGTAAACACGCCCGATTCGGAATAATGCGCTCCACCGGCGAACACGCAGCGCGTCGCAGTTCTCCTTGAAATATGTCGTGCCATCGCCGGCCTGGGTCGCCTCTATAATCAGACCCGTCCGCACGGCGCGTGTCGCGCGCGCTGCCTTTGGCATGTTGCCATTCGTGGTTTTGACAGAGATTGCGAGCAGGAGACGAGGACGCGAAGTTGAAATTGTGTAGAAATGACTCGACTGTATAGTTACAGCTCGTGAGAATGCTAGGGAATGAAATGTTAAGGTTGGAAGTAGTGGCCACCAATGTAGTTTAATGGTTTTTCACAGACTTATAAAGCTTTCACATATTGAATATAAAGAAGCGCAATAAATGAAGCATGGGCCATCGACAAAGCCCATTGGAATGACTTCGATTACGCCACAAAACACAGCGTGAAGTGGATGGCAACTTTCTTCGAAAGTTCTGTGAGCGGTCTTGCTTCTGAACATCCATTACATCATAATCACTCGATAAGAAGGACATGTTCTTTGCGAGACATCCTAATTTCGGTCAGCTATTTGACTAACTGGGACCTCACGCTCAATCTTTGAAACTCGCTGATTCCCTCGAGAAAGTCTCAGCTAATGTGAATTCAGGGCAATAAACCGCACGACCTCACTTCCTGAATGTTCAAATTAATAGAACCAACGACTTCCAGTGGTTGTCAAAGTAGATGAATTTGGCAAAACCCATCATATTGGTGAAAATCGTCTCCCTGAATTGCATAGCACTTCGACAGAATGGCTTGGCTGAGAACAGGACCTTGGACGATAAACGGTCATCGCATGGTCGTGTTCGCTTTCTCTAGTGAGCGTACTTCAAGAAAACAAGTTAGGATTTCGGCCATCCTTGGCAACCGCCGGTGTAGGTTGCTCCTTATCGATATTGTGGTGCTCAGGGTTTTATTTCAGTCATCCAATTTCGAATCAAAGTTGGTCATTTTCAGTCCTAGAAATCCATGATGGGGATTTCTAGGAACATATTACAGGAGAAGAGCAGGTACCTTACTCTCATCTCCTATCGATGAATTCGCACTTGTAGGACGTATTAGGCTTCATGGCTACCCCTATCCAACGCTATATCTGCCGCATCAGTGGCAATTGCTTCTCAATAGCGCCCATAACTAGTGAAACCGGCAGCGTGTCAAAGGGGACCGCGCGCGACACGCGCCGTGCGGACGGGTCTGATTATAGAGGCGACCGCCGCCGGCTTGACGCCATCCATGTGTTCCCTTGGGTGGCCCATGAAAGTCGCCCTGACAGTCCCTGCTACTGGTTTTCTTTTGATATTGATTTCTATGTTTATTTGAACCATTGTAGTGGCAAGGGATGTCGAGCTTGCTCACAAAGGGCCTTTCATTGCGGTTTTGAACATTCTTGGCCGCTTCCGGATTCCGAAACTATAGTGGCATGAGTTGGAGCTAAGACAGCATTTGCAAGGCGCAATCGTCAACAAGCCTGAACCCATTTGAACACATACCTCCTGGCCTTATTTGTTCGTCTCCTGTTGGCCCCTAAATAATGGGAGCTTATCTAGACTGTCTTTGACGGTTTCTTTCGCTTGCCACAGACATGTCAATTAGCACTTTCAAATACGTATTTGAGCCTCACTACCGCATTTTGTGGCCGCGATGTTGGCTTTGAGTCCGGATTGCGTTCTCACCATGAAATCCAGTCACAAACCAATAGCTGTCTCGGCGCCTCTCTATATCAGTGCTCTTTAGAATTCTAATGGCCGTCAAAGCTCGCTCAATGCAGTTTATTCGTTTTAATGTCTTACAGAAAAAGAATCAGTTTTTTCTACAAAAATTCTTCTCTTAAGCGAGAAAGCTGTGGCCCTACCAATCAGCGATGGAGGCCATGAAATTTCGCTGATATGAACAGCCTCTTGTTTTCTCCGGTCATAAGTGTTGAAAGTCCGCTGGATTTCATCTCATATTGGCGTCTGTTTCTGGATTACGTTTACCGAGCCCGCACCCTGCTATCTACTCCCTTTTTCGTCGTAGTTGAAAGTACCGTCTTTATCGCTGTAGATGATGGGGCGTTTCAGAAAAAGAGGGCATGGCTAGGCACGGGTTCGCTGCGGAAGATGGGGCTCGTTGAAAGGGAGAGGGGCTAGAGCGGCGCGATATCCGTTTTTATACCAGTTATTGAAGCGAGCAGCGACTGTATCATATCGCTCGTATCAGTCGTTTTGAAGGAAGCGTTGGCGGCGTGCCACATCCAGGCTCACTGAGGTCATCCGCAGCGGACAGTACTTTAGAAAACCGTACATTTCAGAATTTCGAACCGATGAAAACGTGATGATGGTGTTGCAGTTGTCATAAAAGCTGAATCAATTGATGCGATCTGTACTCTACTCTTAGTTACTTTGTTGTTGTGGGGTAAAACAAACAAGAATGTATCGAAGAAGTGAATTTGGGTGGTTTGTTTCGTCCTCCCTCGGACGAACCTTTGTTTTTCGCCACATCTGTTCTGCTCGTTCTACTCTTGAGCTCACTGGCGCGTTTAGACCGCGTTCAGAATTCGCGATCCTATCGTTCGAGTGAAAGGCGCGATCGAATCACTCGATTAAATCGCGCGAATAGTCGCTCGATCGCGAAGTATGAACACGCTTTGAAGGATAGTGGTCAATGGCTGGTATTTCAGTTTTCCTCCCATAAAAACTCCTGCAAACAACTTTATTTTTGCGTTATAGCGTTATATTTCTGTTCTGATAGCTACTGCTACACGACCGATTTGCTTACTAACGTTTGTTGAGCGCAGATGTAAAATAGAATAAAATTACTGATGCGCTGCAGATTGCTTAATTGTATTTTCTGTTCCCGGCTGTTACCCCTGTCAAGGGTCTAGATTTCTTTCATCCCTTGCAGTGTTTGGTCCTTTTCTGGACGTGAGAGAGTCAAAACAAGAAGGGCTGTGGATTTCAGAGATGAGGGACACTCCTGTGCAGCACTGGAATCTCGGAATAGGACCTATTACGTGCCACGCTTGGAACAAAGACCGAACACGTGAGCAATTTATGATCTTATTTCAGTTTGCAAATACTCAGTTTTGGGATTATTTATTTCCTCATGGCAAGATTGTGGTGAGATTGAAAAGTAGTGTTGCATAGGTAAGATCATAGGATTCCTGAGTTTCATTGTGTATAGAACCGTTCCGTGTT